GGTAAGATCTTGGGGTCATCCTCTTCATCATCTATGTTTGCGGCAGAGGAGACTTTCCCTATAGAGGACTTGGAGGCAGAGCTCCAGGCCCTGCGTAAAGAGAAAGAATTGAAGCAGCGACGTTATAACAAGCTGCAGGTTGTCGCCACTTCCCGTGCAGATGTTGACCTGCGACTCACTGCAGAGCTGGAGAGCACTTCATGTAAGCTCAACGAGGCCAACTCTTCTATTGGAGCTGAGAATGCTGACACCAACACACTGTTACAAACCCTAACAGATGAGGTCAGCAATCTTGCATCATATTTTCCAGTTCAGCCAGAAGCCAAACCAAAGGGAAAAGACCCTCCTGTTTCCCAGAAGCCCACTTTTCTCCTCTCTCAGCTTCCCTTGGATCCATACCTGCATCAGGAGGAGCTCAACACTAAAGCACTTGCTGCCTTCACACAGAAACATTTTTTCCAGGGCATATCAGCCATTGTTGAGAGTTCCTGTTCTGAGCGTTTCCAGGTCCTTGACCTCAGTTCTTGTGATGATGGAAAAGAGGAGGAGACTGGGCACGAGGGAGAGGAGCGGCTGGTCGATCGCAGGAGGACTGAGATGGCCAGACTTCAGTGGTCTCATATTGTTGCTCAGCACCAACTGATGCAGGCTATGGCTGAGGAGAAGAGCGTCAGGGCTGGACTAGACTGGCTGTCAGACAAGTCTTCTCATACTAAGGTAAAGTAAACATGTTGTGACTGTTTGTCTTATTAATGCTTTGTCTTCCTCTATAAAGTGCTTTCTTACATCTGTCTTTATGCTACCAGAGCATTTCCACCTCCTCCTCACTACATGTGCGTGAGGTTGTGTCCAGAAAGGAGCTGCAGGCTGTGGAAGCGGAGCTTGAAGCTCTGCTTCATGGGCCAGTACCTGCTGCCCTGAGGGAGTCAGCCAGACTGCTTAATTTACCAGTAGTGAGGGGAGACCTGGCTTTGCAAGTGGCCAGGCAGGACTACTACACCTCCAGACAGAATCAGGTTAGCAGCATTTCCACTGATTATTACATTACGAGATTTTAATGTGAGATAATTCGTTCTCAGCCTGTCTCTCAGACAGGTAAGAGGTCAGGCCCAGATGTTGAAAAGCAATAATGGTGAAACTGAAAACTCATATAAACCACTAATGATATTCTTGATATCAGATCCTTGAAAACACAACATTTTTAAAGGCCATAGCCTTTAAAAATGCCCTGAACAAAACAGCTGAAACTTTAAGTTCACTTCAAAAAAAAAGGCAATGGTTGTAAGCTAGCATATTCGTAAGCATCATGTAAGTGCCATGTATTTGGTCCTTTGTCTGTCAACAGACACCTGTATTGTGGAAATTGCGTAAGATTTAAGAAAGTTGTGGAGCCACCGTTCCTTGTCATTACATGTCCTTTTAGGAATTGGAATCCATCAAACTAAATCAAGTGTAACACTGTCCACCCAGGTACGAGACTACTTGCTCCGTCAGAAAGCCTGTTTTGACTTGCTCCTACTGGCTCAGGAGATGGAGTTAAGAAGGTGGAAGATGTGTCAGAAGCACCTGGGTGATGTTAAAGGCAAGCTGAAAAAGGAAGGTGAAGAAGTGTCTCTCCGGATCAAGTCTCTGGCACATCCTGACCTGATAATTAACCCTAAACCCAACCCTATCATCAGCTCTAAAGATGCAGCTTTCAGCAGGTGAGAAGATTTGAACTCTATCTACTATAGGCTTTTGTTTTAGAGCTAGAATTATAGACAGAAAAAGCACGAGCCAAACACATAAATAATCATTTAAGTTCAGCCAGCTGTTGTAGTATGTTAATTTACTTTATTCTAAAATAGTTTTTATTAACAAGTTACAGTTTTACCACATGCACATTTGACAAACACTAGCTGCCCTTTCAGAAACTGGACAAACATGATTAAATGTACCCGTCGACATCAGTTCAACGTGTGTGTGTGTAAGTGTGTGTGTGTGTGTGTGTGTGTAAATGTAGATCTCCAGCCTTACAATTTTTATTTTCAAACTCTGCTAGAGTAGCTTTGCATTTTTAATGGTTCAAAATATCCTTTTATCTTTCACTGAATCTTGGTGCTGCCCCTCAGTTCATCTACTTTTAGCTCTTCCTTTGAGCCTTTTGATTAGGTCCCCCTCACCAACAGAAGGTTTGAGTATCAAACCTGAAACTCCATATATTTATTTATGTGTGCTTCACCCTAGCAGCTGTTAGGTGGCATTTTTCTTGTTTGCAGACCTAAGTCAGGAGTACAGACTCACCTCAGCACTCTGCTTTTGGCTTATGACCCTTTGGATCCTTGTTTAAATGCAGGCTGTATCACTTTGGAATAACTTGGTGTTATTTCCACCCTTTTTTTTACCCAGACTCCTTCAGATGCTTGACTATGATTCAGCCCACAGTCGATCAGAGCCTTTTCGAACATATGAAGCGTTGGACCAAGCTGCTAGTAATCTAGCAAACAACCTCCATTTGATCAAAGATGCTCTGGCTGGCGCTGGCGGTGAGCAGTGTTTCACAGCAGCTCGTCTTTATGGCGACTGTGAGTCGCTCCACAGGGCCTTGTACACTGAATTCCAGCAGCTGGTTTTGGGCCCGCAGGTACGTCTAACTGAGCAGGAGCTCCTTTGCCCCAGTGCACAGGTGGGTGTGTTTCCTTTCACTTTATAGTTTGAATAGGTAACGAAGGTGACAGAGTTCACTCAGCCCTTCATGTGAGTCAGATGATTTTTAGACCTTATACTTGACACAATTGGTGAATAACCTGGTAGCACGTTGTGTTTTCTGAATTTCTCCACACATGTTAAATTGTAAAGAAATACAGAGGAACCCCAACGTACGAAATTAATTAGTTCCCGACTCGTAAGTCGAAGCACCCATTGCGCGTTTTGACTGAGGCGATGCTGAACAATAGGCTATAGGCTAATTGCTAACTAGAACAACAATACGTCGTTCAAGTGGAACAGCGAAGCGCAAGTACGGAAGCCAAGGGGTTGTCACATGCTTCGGAGGGCATTGTAGGCTCAGCCAATCAGAGCCAGCGGATTTCGTTACTCGGGCATTTTGCCGTAACACGGGCAGAAATATTGCCGTCCAGTGCCTTCGTAACTTGAATTTTTGTAAATCGGGGTTCCACTGTACATTTGTTTGTTGGGCACAGAAGCACTGTGTAATAAATTGTTCACAAGAGGATCAGCTTTACTGCATGGCATGGGATTTAATATCAATGACTATTAGCCATTCATCTCTACTACATTTCAGCAGTTATAAGTTCAGCCTTCATACAAAGTGGACTTAAAAAAAAATCTGTTTTAAAATGTGAATGTGCACTTTTTAATGCTGCCATAGCATTAACGATATAGGCTCTGTGACAGTGATTCTCTTAATATTTTTAATAAACCAACTAATGTAAATTTACATAAATCTTTGCTTATTGTCCCACAACTGTAGTAAGCTGCATAGACGGGTTCATATGGTATTGTGTTTTTGGCCCTGCAGCGAGGCTTATAATGTAATTCAGTATTATTATCATTATTGTTATTATAAAACAAATGATTATTTAATTAATAATACTCCAGCTACAATTACTTATGTATCTGTTGTTTGTGTGGTCTGTGCTTATATCTTTGTTTCTCATTCACCCTCCATAATTTTCTATTTTATTTTTTCTCCAGGAGCTCACAGCGAAGCTCATGGAAGCAGAGTCTCAGCTGCAGAGTTTACATCAACTAATGCAAGAAATTCTGGGAGAAATTAAAACCAAGCGTTCTCAGCTGGAGCGTAATGCCCTCCTCAGGCGGGAGAGGGAATTGTACATCTACTTTCACTTGGATGCCCGACTGCTGCAGAAAATAGTTGAAGATCTGGAAAGGAAAATGTCTGCAAAGAGAGGGCAGCAGTAAAACTTCAGAGATTATTTACAGGCGGCTCAGGCACTCTCCGTGCTTGAGCTGAAAAAACAAAAATGATCTTTGCTGATAATCTAGTTTCATCTTTTTGTGTTGGAGATGGAGCTGTTTATATGGGATTCATTTGAATGTGTTTAATTCATGTAAACATTCATAAGTGAAAAGCATCCATGATTGTGTTGTTCAGTCTTGATGTTCAAAAATTCTTGTTTTGTTTTTTTTCTTTCGTCTCCAGTCATCAGTTAAATAAAGTGAAATACTATATTTCTGAAGTTTTGATTTTTATTATAAATGCCTTGTGATTGCTTCTCATTATTGTCAGTATACTTGGTGAAAGTTCCTGGAAAATGTTTTCTTTTTGTTTGTTTTCTGTTAAATATATTTTTTTAAACGCCAGTTTAAAGCTTGCCTGTTGATCACTGAAGAAGCTCTCTTCTTTGTCCTATTCAGGCATTTCATAGCTGAAGAATCAAAGCTCTGTGGGCCCAGTGGGAGAGCTAAGTTGTTCTGTTGGGGATGAGATGGAGTGGTCCAACAACAGATTGTACACAGGACCCCTGTCACGGGCAGCCCAGAAGGTCTTGGCTGCTCTGCGGGCCCAAAGTCTGCGTGGAGCCAGATGCAACCAAAACTACTCCAGCAATCGCAGACAAAGTCAGGCAGGTTAGAAGCACAGACAAGTTGAGCTTGTTGCAGTATGCCAGTGGTTCTCAAACTACAGACAGCATTGGGTCGCATGGATTAAGAGGGAAATAATATGTTCTAAACACACTGCAATAGGATTTATGAGGGGCGATTGTGGCTCAAGAGTTTGGAGTTCGCCTTGTAATCGGAAGGTTGCCGGTTCGAGCCCCGGCTTGGAAAGTCTCGGTCGTTGTGTCCTTGGGCAAGACACTTCACCCGTTGCCTACTGGTGGTGGTCAGAGGGCCCGGTGACGCCAGTGTCCGGCAGCCTCGCCTCTGTCAGTGCGTCCCAGGGTGGCTGTGGCTACAATGTAGCTTGCCATCACCAGGGTGTGACTGTGAGGGGCAATGGGGGGATGACTGGTTGTGTAAAGCACTTTGGGGTCCTTAGGGACCAGTAAAGCGCTATACAGATACAGGCTATTTACCATTTATCCGAGGGAGAAAAATCAGCTGAAGCTTTTGTGCTGACATTCATTTCAAGTTGGGGTTGCTTTTTATTGCTGCGGAATGACAAAATCTGGAGGTGAAGGCATAGCAGGAAAAGGTTGGGAACCACTTCATTAAAAATAATAAGAGGGGAAAAAATATAGAATTTATGTATGAATTTGAAACACAAGAAAACTCAGAGACTGAAGTTTTGTAAAAATACAACTTCTAGGAGGGCTGTTGCAAACTATTATTATAGATATCAGTGTTTTATAAGTTGCTGCTAAGTGCAGATGTGAAAAAGAATAAAGTAGGTCCCATCTCATTTAACATTTTACTGCTCAGTTTGCCTTGCATGCAAGTTATATAATGCTGTCTGTATTTAGTTCTGTGTTCTTTTGATGTGCTTGTGGTAGTGGAGATGTATAATTGCAGCCAGAGGGAGTCTTGGGCAGACAGCAGCTGGAGTCAGGAGGAGAGATGCACATATCAGTAAGTCTGATTAATGTTCAGATATCAGCTTTATCAACACCTCAACAAAATATTAAGCTGATCCTAATGATTATTACTCATCGTTATTGTGGAATACTGTGCGAAAGTCATGAGCCGCCCCTTATAAGTGGTCCTGAGCAATAGTTCAAAAGTTTTTCTTTGGCTGCTTTTTCACTCACTATCAGGGCAATACTTTTACTTATCTATTTTCAGAGGAATGTCTTTTAACCTAGAACCTGGCGTCCACATATGTGGACATCACATTTTGGGTTATTTAGACCAAAGTACTCAATTTTGCTCTACAAGGGCCTGATATCCACTTACGAGGACATGCTACTGTTCTATTGAAATTTTAAACGAATATCCTCATATGTGGCTCTCATTTTTCTTAGAAACAAAAATTAGTAAAAATAAATAAATCTGATAATTCTTTTATTTTTTACATTCATCAGGTCCCAATCAGCCAAAATATCAAAGAGAAATTAAAAATGCACGCTGTGGAAGAGTTCGGGTCTTAGGATTTTAAGGCACTGACTCATTCAAGCAATATACGTCACCAAACGAACAGATGAAGCAGTGTTGTTTCTACACATAACAGACCACTTAGCAACTTAGAAAATCCATTTCCATAGACCTTAATGGATCAATGAATCCAAATGTGAAATTTTTGGTTAAATTCGTCAATATTTGTGGAGGACAAGAGGAGATACAGCAGTGATTGTCTACAACCATCTGTAAGACATGATGGAGTAAAACATGATGCAGCCCTTATGGTTTGAGACTGCATTTCGGCAATCTTATGAAAATTCGTGGAACTATGAACACAGAATAGTACCACCAGATATCGATCCACCATGTAATGCCACCTGGGAAGCATCTGATTGCCAGCAGCTTCATTTTTTCAGCACGACAGTGATCTCAAACACATAAACGCTATCAGTCAGGGATTTGCCTCCCCATACACCAAACATTGACATTATTAAAGCAGTGTGGGATCATCTAAAAGCAGCCAAAAAGAGCTTTGAGTGTGCTTCAAGAAGCCTGGTGAACTACTCAAGGCTACTGAAAGAAAAGACAAAAGCTTGGGTAAGAGAGTTAAGCATGTGATGATGAATAAAGGTGGTCATACCAAATATTGATTTTCTAAGCTCATTAGAACTATGCTGTTACCTCATATACTGTGTTGCCATGGCTGTTTGCACATAATTCAATAAATCTCTGTATTTATTTCAAATTTCTCTGGCAAAATCTAAAGAAATGATGGGTGATACAAGACTTTGACCCAGTACTCTGTTTAATTCAAGATAAAAGAAATTGGTTTTCCATGTTGTGGTCCAGGCCCCAGGTGTCTTCCCTTTCCACCGCTCACTATAATTCCTCCAGTGAGAGGCAGAGCTCTCAGACCTTGGCCATCTATCAGTACTCACAGACACCAGACAGCTCCATGTCATCTCAGGCTTCCTGTTCTGCCTCCTCCTACTGGGATTTCTCTCTCCAAATGCAGACTGAAGCCTATTATCAGTACTCACAGACATATTCCCACAGAAAGTGCTCTGAACCCCCTGCTTACAAGTCCAGCCAGTCTCTGTCATTTTCTCAGCATGAGGTTCCTGAGACGCCAGCAACTTTCTGTCATGGAGACAGATATACCCTGTCCTTCCAAATACCAGAGAGGCTCTCTGAACATGAAACTACACCACGGAAAAAGTAAGAGACAAAGCAAATAAACATGCAGTTTTATTGCAGAGACTACTTATGTTTAAAGGAATCCCAAAATATATTAACACTGCTTTAGGAATTGCGCTTTGATATATTAAAACTATGCAAATTCGGGTGATATTAAGAGAGACATACGTTTAGCATGTATTGACACTGTTCTGGTGCTGATGCTTGGCAGGATGGATTTTAAAAAATTGTTTGCTTATTTTCTTTTCACTTGTAGCTCAACAAAAGAAATCAGACCACCTTTCATAGTGAATATATTTCCAGACGATGAAGCTCCTGACATCATGCTTCCAACAACAGAGCAATCTAATTGTCATAAAGAGGAGCCTGCTGCAGTTTGTCATCCAGTATCGTCGTGCCTTAAAATATATGAAGGGAGAGAAAGCAGGGCATCAGGTGCACAGACAGAAAAGGTTGGTAAAGACAGCTGGCATATTGCCACAAAACTACAAGACACCAGAGCTCCAGGAAGTCGATTAAAATGGAAGCAGCCTCTATCTGACCCCACTGAAGCAGCCAGTGGTGGAGCAGGAGACAGAGTTGTGCTATACCAGCAGTCAGAATCTGAAACAATCAACACTGGAAGGGCACATCTACCTCCTAGTGTCTTTATTACAAGACAGGAGAACTGTTGTGATGCACATTTGCCCAAGTTGATGAGAAATATAGTTGGGAAGGAAGATGAGGTGCTGATAGCAGATACAGAACATATCACTGAGCTGGGAACCAGACAGATTTCAAACATATGCCGTGAAATTCAAAACGCAGTAAATGAAGCTGCAAGGAAAGAGAGAGAAAATCGAGATGTGAGTGCACTTCACGCAAAAGGATCTGCCTATGAAATGGAGCGAGTTGTGCCTGTGAGAACCATTGAAGACACCACAGTTAAAAGCCATTTGAACTCATTAGACATCAGAGACGATTTTGTTGACAGCGGCACTAAAAGTGAAACACGTGGGGAGAATGAAGAAAATGGTTTAGAATATATAGTCAGTGCCTCTGAAGTCAATACTGAACACTCCCTTGATACTGAGAATAAAGCAACAACAGTTGAACATGAATATCCACAAAAGATCTCCATATCTTTAGGAAGTGGACTCCAGGATGTGAGCCACTGCTACACTGAAAAGCCTCAGAACAAGGATCAGATTGGGACCAACACAGCAGAGAACGACCACACTCAGGAGCAGTCTGAGGCCAGGAGCGTCAGCCTCCAGGACAACAGCGCTGAAAACATAGAAAAGACAGAGGTGATGGAGGCCAAAATGGAAGCTACATTTCAGAATAAAACAATGGCAAACACTAATCATCAGATGGCGCAGGGACAGTGTGAGACACATGATGGAAAACTTGCAGAGTTTCTCGGAATGGACACTGAAGAGGGAAAAGGGGGAGAAGACAGAGAGGCAGAGGAAGTGGCAGCTGTGGACAGTGATGTTGACAATAAATCTGCAGGTAAGTGTGTTGCTAGTGATGTTTCTGTAATATGATTATCCTGACATTGAATGGGGTTTACTTATATTGGGTTTACCACCGATTTCTACCTTCATAATGGCTAATTTGAATAGGTTAATTCAAGGTTTACGATTGTTATGCTCAAAAGAGTGGCAATCACAAGATTAGTCCAGTCAGGAACAGTATAGTCAAAAGAAGAGAGATATTTCCATTTGGGTTAATATTTGTTGTACTAAATGGAGGCAGGAGGAGCAGCAACGTAAACCGAGCACAGATCATAGTACGCTACAGTGACAACACTTACATATCAGATATTAGGCAGACACAGATTGAAAGCAGGAGCTGGTGTGGAGATGGGTTGTAAAGTGACTTGTAGATACACAGTAACTATACAGACTAAAGCAGCTTAAATAGCATGTCCTATTTGTTACAATTGGAAGTATAACGGAGGATTAGGTGATGTCTCAGGTGGAGTTTTGGCTAGCCTGAAATAAAACTATGCTTGATTTTTATAATCACTATCAGTGACACTGTCATATCTGTTGAATATGTTTGTTTCCCCTAAAACTCACCCCAGAGAGTGTGCGTTTAGATTTTGAAGGGCCCTGAAGAGACTGTAAAGTATACGTTTGTATAACATCACACAAACAATATTTGACATGTAATTAAAACGAAAGAAGTTCATTTCTCAGTTCTATAGAGTGTCTGCCGTATGATTTAACCTGGAAAAAATGAGATTAAAATAAAACTTGGGCTGTTTTAGCTATGGTTGGATTAGAAAAAGCAACTCTAGGGGGTGCTAAAGCTCGTAAAGTTGTGTCAGACATCAGTTCCAGTGGCTCTCAGCCATTTTTCTTTCTTTGATTTGGCACTGATGACATGGCAGGGCTGAAGAGACTCAGCACTGACGGGAGACTTTGTGCCTGCTCACATTACAGCTGCATGAAGGTGCTTGAGTCTCAGCTGCAGAGACAATGCCGAGTCAAGACCCATTGTACACACACGCACACACACACACACACACACACACACACACACAGGCACAAACACTCTCGAACAAATTGGAAGTTGTGTCGTAGCAAAACGTCAGCTTGATCTTAGCTAAGATTTATAGTGTTGCCTGACCTTGTCCTATCACACACTGCTGAGGTGCCACACACACTGTGTAAGCATCCATACATGCTGCCTCAAACATGCTTACATAACAGAACTGATTTATTGATTGAGGACTGACTTGAAAAGTGATGAACAGATGAAAAATGCTCTAACATCCTCTTCTAGGGAACTCAGAGGGAGAAAGGGCTGCTATGCCAACATTGTCCCAGGAGTGTGGGGCTAATGGGTCGGGGATTAGAGCTGCCCGTCTCAGTAGCAGCCAGCAGCAGCATGACAATGCAAAAGTAAGTTTCATAAGAGAAATGTTGCAAAATTCCAAAAACTGCTTTACATTGCAACCCTAAGTAATGCTCATAGGGCATAAATGCTGAGCTTAATTTATGCCTACTTAGCTCACATAATCAGTAAGATGGGAAGAGGACATGAAGTGTTTTGCCCATAACAAATCCGCTTTGACACTTCAGTTGGGTAGAAAGTGTACTTGCTAAGCTTTGTTGTCACTTGCAGTCTTTTACTTGTCCTTTTTCTTATACGTTTAACTGATGTGTCTTTATTTCCCCGTTTCTTCCGCTTATCTCTGCCTCTGCTTTTTTCACTGAAAAACTAAGAAGTCCTAAAATTTAAATACGTGCTTTCAGGTTAGACCAAGGCTGCTGTGTCTCTCATTTACATAGATATAAATGTAGCTAGTGTGAAATAAGAGTTTTGTCAGCAGCACTGCAGCACACAACAAGTAATGGGTCTCCACTGAGTCATAAAGACCCGACAGAGTCGTAGTCCATGATACATATTAGCAGAAAAAGGAGAGCAAACTGCAGCGAGAAAGTGCTATAAAGGGAGTAAGGGAGGTGGTTGGATGGATGCATGGAATGTGGAAGAGCTAATGAGAAGGATGCAGCAGGAGAAGGAGAGAAAAAGAGGGCAGGACTTTACTGTATTGCTACAATCAGCAGCAGACACAGCAGTCCATTCTCCCTCTCTCTTTTCACTCTCTCCATATGCACCAGTACTGGGCTATGGGCCACGGTCTGCCTGGGTTTTCTATCTATATCCTGTAGCACAGCACCCATGAGGGGGGTTCATGACTTTGTCAGCAGGAAAACGGGTTGTGTTTACAGGGAAATGAATGAAGTCTCTCCTCAGGGAGCTGAATCACAGGAATTCCTACCTCCCGGGTAGACAGCCAACAACCTGCAGAATTATGCACATAAATACAGTCACATATCATCTCTGAAAATCCTCAGAAATACCCATCTCTCTATCGCTTGTCAAGACTTCAAAGAACATTTGCACACCTGGTGCTTTTGGATAAAAAGAAATGAGTTAGAGATATGAATAATATACATTTTTTAAAGATGCCATTAAAGTTACAGGGAGGGGAGATTGTACTTGTGGTAGATGGGACTTGGGGATCATAACAGTTTTGATGTTATGATCATTTGTACTGATATATTGACTTCAGCGTATTCACATTGTATTTTTTTGCGTTGAACTTTATAGATGTAGTTTTCAGGAATAGTTCTCGAGGCTTCTTGAAGGACATTCAAACCTCAGCATCTTTGGATGTTCTGGATGTTGGATGTTCTCAAGATGATCCCACACTGCTTCAGTAACGTTAAGGTCCAGGCTCTGGGGAAGCCAATGACTGAGCGTGTTCCTTAAATGTCAAAGTTGGGTTTGTCACTCCGTAAGACCTTAGATTTTCACTATTTTCAGTCCAGTTCTTGTATACTTTGACAGACCACAAACTCTTCTCCCTGTTTTTGTTCTTTAAGAACAGCTTTTTGGCAGTTGCTCTTCCACTGAGACCATTTCTGATGCAGCTTCAGTGACCAGTAGATAGATCAGCTGAAGGATCTCTCAGCTTCTGTGGCAGGTCTTTGCATGTCAGGATATGCCAAGTTTCTCAGCTTTTTATTATCTTGTTGGTGAAAAAATACTATTTTTAAAAGCATTTTTCATCAGTTCCAGTGAAAAAATTGAACAAATACCTTTTTGTGACAGGCTGCACATATCAAAAAGAGCCTAAAGATGCAGTTTCATTCTAATTTGTTCATCATGTGTAGACAAAGCCGACTCTTTATGCTTAAATTAATGATACTTGGCTTAATACACAAATAAAGAAACTTGGTCAGTTACAAGGACTAGGCTGAAAATATGTGAAAAAGCAGCCAAAGAAAAACTTTGGGAGACCTTCAGAAAGCCTGGAGAACTATTGCTCAAGACCTCTTTAAAAAGTTACAAGAAAGTCTGGCTCCTTGGAAGGAAAATATAAAGAAATGAAGAGTGACACAAGTTTTGCACCGCACTATTTAAATATAGACGATAAATACTGTATATTTATTATATGTATGCTGCATGCAATTCAGCTCTGGTACATTAAACCCTTTTTAATGTAACTATTTATAGTCAAACAATCATCGTCATTCAGCCAAAGAAGCAAAGTAGAGCTGCTATTATTGTGTCTGCTTTTTTGACCCTGTCCCAGCTTCAGGCAGGTTTGTCAGACAGTATCGCGGCTGTGTTTCTGTCTGGGACACAGTGCTCAGGGCTGACTTTCACATCCTTTTTTCTTTGGCTTCTCTCCTCTTACCCGTTTACTTTTCAGGCCTTCTTTTTTATGCTCTCTCTCACAAACTGTGTGATCCTGCTACGTCAAAGCGCGAATGGGAATAATTAAATTACGTTTCTATTCTAAGTGCTAAAACAAATCATGTCCAACTAGAAGTTTTTATTTCATTCACTTCAGTCCTCTAAGTAGTGAAGTATTGATGTTCTGTGTAACAAAACCTGCAGGGACAGCGGGAGTCTATTTCAAGTGCCTGCTTCTTTTTTTCTGTGTCCTTTGTCGCTCTCTGCACATTATTCACCTTTTTTGTTGCTTAGACCACTAATGGAAGCACCAGAGGGAGTAGCTCGAGCTTGGTACTGGCCCCAACAATCACTGTTGCGCCTGGACAAAACCTCTTCTCAGTGCAGGAATTGACTTCAGCTGTTGTAGCACCGAAGAAAGAAAATCGAAAACTAAAAAATTCTCCAAGTCATCCTTGCATGAAACTTTCCTTCCCCCTAAAGAGGAAACGTGAAGCATGTCAGCACGAAAACACTGACCCTCCTGCCAAAATCAGCCTAAGCAGATGCCCTCCAAAATGGGAGCCTCCTCGATCCTCACAAGAGAAACCAAGGGAAGGAAGAGTTAGGGAGTCAAAGAGTGCCAGAGAACCACAGGGGAAAGCAAGTCCTTCACATGAAACAAGAGCAGCGTCTGGGGCGTGTACACATCTAGATGCCTCAAACCCAACTCAGCAAAACAGGCAGAATAAAATGGAAAAACTATCAAGGGAATTACCAGGGAAGGCTTCCATTCACCCCCCACTTTCCAAACCACGCAAACCCAAGCAAGCTGCATGTGAAACCAACCCCACCACAAGTGGGCCCAAAGGTTTCCAAAAACTAGTTAGGAACAGTGAGCCGCCGACCCAATCCAAAGCTGGCTGTCTGGCTGCAAGCTTGACATGTGACCCTAGAGTAAAGTACTCTGGAAAACTTAAACCAGATGAGAAGGTGCAGATGCTTGAGATCGCTGGGCAGGCTAAGGTGTTGGTGCTAACAATGGTGTACCAAGATGGAAGCACTCAGTTAGACGCAGAACAGGTAAGGACGCAAAATGTTTATGATCTACGCAGTCATTAGTATGAAATAACATAAATACGTTAAGATAAATTAGGATTTGTGAACTTGAGACACATTATTTGATTGCGGGTAACTTTTATTATCTTATAGATCAGGTCCTTAATGCTGATTGGCTAAAGTCTTCAAGCTCACTTCTGCATTCTCATGCACCAAACCTCAGATTGCTGAAGGTTGCATTAATTAAGAAAACCAAAACTGCATCAGTCAGCTAACGTTTACATCTTTAGCGGCTCAGAAAACTGGCTGAAGCGTGCCCTGTGCCTTTCATCACAGTGTAAACTGTATACTCTTGTTGTTTGCTTCATCATTAACTTGCAGCCCCTGTGCTCTTGTAATTCTGCTCTTTGTTCCCTGATATAGAAGCTCACTCCACCAGCGTGTGGCCTCCTCATACTAATGAAGAACGAACTGGACTGCAGCACGCCGGAGGGTGCGCTCGGCCCAAACGACACTCTGGTCTACTTAAAACTAGAACACACACCTGCATGGGCCCAACAACAAGTCCATCAGAGCCAGCAGCTCTTTACTAGGTCTGTGCTTCTATATATGTGTGTCTAATCGAGATCCACATTCGCAAGTGTTTGATACTAAAGCAGGAGTACTTAAAGGTGTGTGTGTCCCACAGAGATATGCTGCTACAGGTGCTATCGAGATCTCAACTGGTGGTGTGCTATAAATCCAAGGATTTGCTTCGTACAGTTCTGCAGTTTTACAGACGAGACCTCAGCTGGAAACAAGGCATGACACAAAAATAAAAACAGTTTCCCTAAAGACCTTCACGCATGTACACCTGCTTCTAGCTGTTTATGCACAACACTGCTTTGCAAATTCATTGTCAACATCCACATTTATCAAAGACTTAAGTAATGCCCCTATCTGTTTCTTTATTCCACGTAGTCTAGTGTCAGTAAACCATCCAAGCCACAAACAGCTGGTAGAAAATTAGAGCTTTATTCAACAAACATAGTAAAAACACATTATGGAAGCAAGGCAGCGTGGCGCTGTTGGAAAATGTTTCCATTAAAGTAGCAGGAGTCATGAAAAACATACACTGGACACTTAGATGCTTGCACACGACTCCTACAGCAAACATATTTGGTCATATACAACGTGAACACATCCCATATTTTATTGGTGTGACTTTATATTCATATGCCAGTCCCTGATCAGTGTGGAGGAAACCAAATGCTGCTCATTATCATGATGAGCTTTTCTCCCTATGCAGTGGCAGGCTGTCATATCCAGGACCCACAGGTGTCAGGGTGGCTGCTGGATCCCACAGACCCGTCCTCCTGCTATCAGGAGCTTCTCCATAAATACTGCAAAAGACCCCACACATTACCTGCCCTGGGTGCCCAGAAAGTAAGCTTAAGTCTAAATTGGCATTTGTTACACTTGACTGCTAAGTAACGTTTCTATAGGACAAATTCTTAGAGCTGGAAGTCTTGTAAGCAGCGTTTTTGGGACTACAGCATCTAATTATTGAAAAATTTAAGGTCCACTGGAGTGCTGCAAACCTGCTTGGATCTGGACTGAAGAAAATCCACACGCCCTATATTTATGAAGAAAGTTTGAATAGTAGAAAATAAAAACAAGGACTTTAAAACAGATCTGTGTACAACTTTTATGAAACATGAACAAGCTAAAATGAGCCTGAGAGAAACTCCTTTGGACATATTCAACAAAAGCAGTTTTCTGGTAAGCTCTCTGCTCAGTGAAGAAGATATGAAGGGGGCTGAGTTATATTATGGGGCTGTTTTACTGGGTGGGGTGCATTAACTCATTAAAGGTGTTATACAGTGATGCTATTGCAATCCTGGCTCCTTTTACAGTATAATAACCCACCACGTACATCTTAAACTGTAACATCAGTTTGTTCTGAGGCTGCTCGCTGTGTGTGCTGATCAATCTGAAGAGAAGAATCTGACTGTAGTACAGCACCTGTGTGTGTGTAACATAGAATAGGTCAATTCAGGACTCTGTGCGGACGTCCACGTGTCTGTCAGTTTTTTGTAACTCCATCTCTCAAGCAGACAAATCATGTTGAAAAGGGACATTAAGAATGAGTACGACGAGGGCACCTGCAAACAATTATAATCCTGTTCCTATCAAACTGAACAAAACTGCATCAAGGACGCTGGACCAGACTTCTGGCTATGGATTGTGGAAGGCTGATTAAGAGCCACAAAAGTGTGCGATTGCAGTGATTGCCTCAAGACGTTTGTGCCACGAAATGTCAGGTCTCGATATTTTTGCCCATTTCATTTTCACGTGAAAATTAAAAGCTCTGTTTTGTTAAATGTCGAATAGAAAAGAAGGTGATGCTAGTTATACTCTCTGACACCAAAGGATTTCAGCAGACAGTTGATGTTTTCATGTTTTTGGTGTTGTTTTTTTAACTGAAAAGATACTAATTTTAACTATAGAAGAAACCATGACTCACGAAGTACTTCTACACAACAAAACCTGAATCATGTTCCTCCTCCCTTTTCTTTTTTCTCTCTTTGTTTGTGTCTCTCTCAGGTTTCTCAGATTATCTCAGGTCTCTGTTGGCTCTACAGGCTTAATATGAAGCTATGCTCTGAGCTACATGTAGGCAAATGCTCACATACAAACATGCACACACACACACACACACACACACACACCAACAGATTACCTAACTGATAATTTGTGTGTCCAGAGCCAAGGGCTGTGGCAGCTCTACTATGATATGGAGCTGAACATGATCCCTGTTCTGGCAGGTGAGCACTGCTTTACTTTTTTCCCTCCAGACACTCAGAATTGTTTTAAAATACAACGAAA